TAATTATTGACCTGCAATATATGCAGTTCGGTTTATCCTATCTGTAGAAATATCAAACATTTTGGCATATCCTGGAACAGGTATTTTCCATCAGATATTGATATGTTGAACTTTAAGTCCTTACAGAATATGAAGGAAAAATAATTATATAAAAGTGAAATAAGTATTTACATATTTTTACAAAGAAATTTAGAAACCTAACCTTATACAGAATTGTAAGTACTTATATTAGGGAGACAATAACGATATTTACAGATGTGGGTCTGGTTTATTTCACTAGTAAGTATATCTTCATAGGGCATCCACTTAAATATGAAGGCTTCAAGTTTATCATTCTTTATAGCTGAGTAGTACTCCATTATATAAAAGTACCACATCTTTTTCAACCATTCCACATGTGACAGGCATTTTGGTTGTTTCCAATCTCTGGCTACAATGTTACTTTAGCTTTAGCTTTCAATTTAATTAATTAATTAATTTATTTATTTATTTATTTGCGGTACCAGGAATTGAACTCAGGACTCTGAGCTTGTAGACAAGTGCTTATGCTACTGAGCTATCTCCCTGGGCCAGCTTTCAAATTTTTTGAAGAACATTTTAAAAGGATAAAAATACAGTGCTTCATGTTTACCATTTCTTTATTTCCTACAGACGTTTTTTTCATTGCCATTTGTTGAAGGAATTTTTCTTGCTCCATTGATTTGCCTTGGCTCCTTTGTTGAAAATCAAATGATAATATATACATAGAAGTCTTCACTTCAGATATTCTCATTTTCAGTTTTGTAATTTTCATTTTAAAGTTTATCTGATCATTCCAGTATCTGTTTAACATATAGATCTGTAGCTGTTGATCTGTTCTATCTTTTGATTATGAATGTGATTTTCTTACTTTGTTTCATGTTTTTTAATTTGATACTTGGTGTATTGTACATAAAACGGTAATGTAGGGAAATGTTAATGACATTGTCCCTTATAAATACCCACCCATGTCCCTCCTAGATACTGAGTTAAGGAGCTAATCTCCGGTAATTGGGCTTGAGGTGGATGAGTGATGACTTGGTACTTTCATGTCAGATCCTATCATCTAAGGTTTCATAGTACATCAGTCTCCTTCCTCAATAAGGTTTACATATATAAGTATGACAAAACTGTAGGATATCTCACTATTTTCTAGTCTTGTTCAAGATTTACTATGCCACCACATACTCAGAGAACTATGAATATAAGAATTGGATAATGACCAGTGAGGGGCTTCTCAATTCCAGTTGCCTGTGCATGACCACTAAAATTTTGGTTGGTTTTTCCTTTAGCATGTACAATTCTGTATCCTTATGTATCCTAACTTGGAAAATAGCTTGGCAGTTTCTTTAAAAACTAATTATTCTCTTTAACATACAGTCTTATGATTTTGCTCCTTGGTACTTATGTTCATACAGGAACCTGCACATGGATAATTAGAAAAGCTTTGTTAATAATTGTCAAAAATTTGGGAGCAGCCAAAGTGTCTTTAATAGGTAAATGGATAAACTAGTACATCCCAACAGTGCAGTAGTCAGTGTTAAGAAATGAGCTATAAAGCTATGAAAAGACATGGAAGAATATGTATTGTTAATAAAAATAGGCTATATACTATACGATTTCTACTGTGTGGCTCTCTGGAGAAGGCGAAACTATGGAAACAGTAAAAACTATTTGGGTGTCTCAGTTACTCTTGTTGCTGGGACAAATACCTGACACCCAAAATGAAGGAAGGAAAGGTTTATTTAGCTCACAGTTACTGGAGGTTTCAGCTGGCTGCAAGGCAAAGCGCATGTGGCAAGAGACCAACCTTTCATGGGGGTGGCAAAGGGAAGGCCAACAGCTCAGGCAGCTCGCTAACTTCCTTCATTGTAGTGCACACTACCTTCCCCTGGGCAGGTGCAGCATCCACGCCCACAGTAATCAATCACAAACTCTACTGCCCCATGACTGCATGAGGCTTTGGGGGGACACCTATACACAAACCATAACAATGAGTTACAGAGGAGGAAATACTAAGTGAAGCACTGGACATGTGTTTAGGCAGTGAAGTTATTCTAGTATAACACATAGGGAGAAACCATTTCATTGTATATATCAAAACCCACTGAAAGTGTAAGACCAAGAGTGAGCTTTAATACAATCTTTGGGGTTTTGATGATAGGATGCACTGTCAGTATCGGTTCTTTGGTTATGAGAAATTTGTCCCTGTACTATAGGAATCTTCATAGTGAGATTGTATGGGGGCATGTCATGTATGTTAATTTCTATACTTTTTAGTTTGTTTTGCTGTGAAACTAAAACTTTTTTAAAATAAGAAAACAAATTAATGTTACCTGGCAAGGTATACCATAAAAAATCTGAAAAGTGAGGGAAATATTTATAAATATGTGCTAATCCTAATAACGTTCACAATTTAAAAACAAATCAAGAGGCAAAAGACAGTAGTTAATAGAAAAATGGACAAAAAGAATGTACTATTCATAACCAAAAAGTAAATAATAATTTCCCCCTGTAAGTCCATTGCAGTGGCAGATTAGATAATAGTACAAAGAAACACTAACTGAGAAATTTTTGGTGAAACTAAACATTTTTGATGTTTATTTATAAAAATGCCAATATTTCCTCTTTGGAAACTATATAATATAAATATATGTATACCTCATATGCAAAGATATGTGCTTATTGGTTTCTCTGGATATTCTAGCTGCATATGATATAGACAGTGTAGATTCAAACTAGGTGAAATAAAATATTACCCTGTCAGCTGCAATGCCTTTTATAAGCCAACTTCAGCAGAAGCATTTAAAGTTAATGAATTATGACCTTAATGATCTCTTCCAATGAGTATTTATAATAAAGAATTAAACATTTAAAAAATACAAGTAATATGGTAGTTTCTTCATTTCTAATAGTGGCTTTGTTTATCTTATTTCTGCTTCAGGAAACAGCAGTAAGTTTTAGTTCATTGTTCTAAATATATTTTGACCTTTCTTAGTTGTACCTGTTGTGACTTGCCAACAGATTTCTTCAGGAACAAAGAAAGAACATAACTTAATTATGCTAGGGAAAACTGTTCTGTTTTCTAAAAATATGTATTCTCTTTCATCTGTTTATTGAGCATTTGCCATTTCACCTTTGTTACCTGCCACTATATGTTGTGGCTATAGTAGTATGGTAGGAAGGACTTCAAAATAAAAGTTCTTCCTACCATACTACTATATTCCATAACTGTGCCATACTGTGTGTTTGAAGTTTGGGAGCTTGTGTTGGTTATGTGTGCTCTTTAAAGTGAAGTTGCCCTCAGTGTGTAGAGAATGATCATCAACAAATTTGATTCTGTGTTTATAGTTATAATGATATTATTTGATTTTCACAAATGTGTTCTAAAATAGAATTGGCATCAAATTGAGTGAAGCAGTTCCAATAATATGTCTATTCATTCATTTTTCTTATTCTGTGTATCTGTACCCTCTCATTTTCTTGATTAGATTTAGCTTGTTTACTTAAAACAGAATTGGATACTCTTCTGAAAACCTGTAACTTAGTAAATAAAACTGATTTCAAGAAACAGCTACTTTAATGAGTCAACTTTCGTGAAAGAAATGGAGAAGTGTTTTGGTAACCTGAAAATGTCTGCTTCATTGTCACAAGAAAATTCTTCCAAACTTTTAAGAAGGTGCTGTTATGATGCAATTTAAACTGTTAAAAAGCATTAAAAGACACACAGAACCTTAGAAACGTAACACATTTAAATCTACCAATGAGTGTTTCTTGAGATTATTGATGCAAAAATCAGAAATAAGTAACTTTTTTCTTAGCTTCAAAGTCACTGTCATGCTTAGTGGGAAAATGCCACAAGCATTATCTTACAGTCATGGGTAAGATGACAGTATTCACTGTCACCACTTGTTTACTAAACTGTGACATGAACTCCAATAAATGCTGTGAAGTCATAATTAGAAATGAATCATAAAATAAGTGACCAGATACTTGCAAAATCTACCAGGAAGGACTAATGTCTGTAATTCATAAAGAGCCTTCTACGGATCAGTAAGAAAACTGATCAGTATAACAGGAAAATGAACAAAAAAAAATAGACTATTCAGAAAAAGGAATGTAAAGAACCATAAAACTGCTCAATGTAGTATATGAGGGAAATGTAAATTAAAACTATACTTGAGTATGTTTTCGTTGATCAGCATTGGTCATTTCATCACCATTTATTTTGTTACTGGAAATGTAAACTAGTACAACCTCTGAATGATAATTTTAGTAAAATCTTTCCTAATTATATGCATACTCAGTCCTGACAGTTTGTCTGTTAAAAATATCATTCAGGGTGTTTTTTAAATTTATTTTTAATTTTTTTTTTTTATTTTTTTTTTTTTTTTTTTTTGGTGGTACCAGGGATTGAACTCAGGACGCTGTGCTTGCCAGGCAGGTGCTTATTCTACTAAGCTGTTTCTCCAGCCCAATTCAGATATTTTTGGAAGTATGCAAAATGTGTAGGGTTAGACCTTATAGCCTTAGTTCTTAAAACGAGAGATCAAAAGCCACTCACTGATAGGTACATAAACAATAATAAAACGTCAACTTGAACAATTGTTGAAAGAACAATTTCTGAATCATTAATATAGACAGAACTCCCTTTTTGTATACCATTTGTATACAAAAAAACAAGAACATTCATGTGTGTGGAATATTCTGAACTGAGCAGAGATCTCTTGTAGAGAAGAGACTGTCAATAATAGATTATTTTGGAAGGGGAACTAGGTTATGAGAAATCAAGAATATGCCTTTTATATGTTGAAGTCCCCTAAATTAAACTTGAGTACAGTAGCTATATATTTTGAAATCATAGAATTTAAGTTATCTGTTTTGTTAGTGATATTATAGCCACAGACAACCGATTTCGTTGATATTTACTAGTTCTGGCATTATAACAGCATTTATTTTATATTTTTCTCATTCTCTTGTAGGATCTCCAGCTGAACTGTCTCCTACTACTCTCTCTCCTGTTAATCATAGCTTGGGTAAGTTGCAGATACTCTCCACTGTTCTTATTGTATCACCTATTTAAGAAAGTTTTCTTTGAAAATTATTTTTCGTATGTATGAGAAAGGGTTATCAATGAAATAAATAAGTAATTATGAAAATAATTTAAATCAGTGCTTTTTTTTTTTTTTTGGTGGTACCGGGGATTGAACTCAGGACCTTCCTCTTGCCAGGCAAGTGTTTATTCTACTGAGCCATCTCCCTGGCCCATAAAGTTGATTTTTTTTTTTTTTTTTTTTGGTGGAACCAGGGATTGAACCCAGGCCCTTGCGCTTGCCAGGGAAGTGCTTATTCCACTGAACCATCTCCCTGGCCCCTTAAATCAGTGATTTCAAAAAAAATTGGTAGCATGTCTCAATATTACTCTTTTCTTATGTCATGGCACAAATGTATGAAGCAAATTCTTATTGAAACACATTTTTCAAGAATTTTATAGCCTATTATGGAGGGAGTTCTGCAGGCATGCTTATACTTCTTGTAGTAACAATATCAGGTCCGTATATGTGTATATATGCATCACATAAATATATATATTGTGAATGTGAGATAATTTATGTGTGAGATTGAATATATTATGTGTATGTGTATAGATAAGTATGTGTATAAATACGTGCTTTATTTTTGACCCTTATTTTACTTTGCTGTCTCATAGTTTCTCTTCAGCTTTATGTTTGCAGTTGATTCTACAAAATTATCAGGACTTTTTTCTTTTCACATTATGCCTTACGTTTTAGTCAACAGAAACGAAGTACATATATAATCTTTATTTTCTATAAATGTTTCCACTTGCATATTTTGTGTTTTATTGCTTTCCGGTTCTTAGATATGCATGAATTTCCTGTTTTGTAACTGTGGTAACTCATGTAGACTCATCTCTCATGTCAAAATAGAAAAACATGCAAAAAAAATCTGTCATACTGGCATTTGACTCGTTAGTCTTTGCTCTGACTTTATTCTACTTTATCCTCCCAGAAATTTCCTTCATTATGTAAAGTATTTTAGAAATACACCAAGTATGGCAAGTGGATTGACCCTTGCCTAGGTTGTTTTGTATTTAAATAATAACTAACCTAAAACTATTGAAAACATAGTCCAACATAAAGTAGTCTCATGAGATGGAGGAGATTTGAAAAATTGAAAATCTGGTATGATCTGTGGAATCCATTATAGATGTAAGATTTCCTTCCTAAACTGTTGCCAGTATGTACTGGCATATAAAACATGGGAAAATGATAATGTTCAGTCTATTTTCAGCTTGAATTGTTCACATGTCATTTCTTTTATTTTTATTTTTTTCAGATTTGCAGCCAGTTACCTACTCTGAACCTGCATTTTGGTGTTCCATAGCATATTACGAATTAAATCAGAGGGTTGGAGAGACCTTCCATGCATCACAGCCCTCACTTACTGTAGATGGCTTTACAGATCCATCAAATTCAGAGAGGTTCTGCTTAGGTTTACTCTCCAATGTTAACCGAAATGCTACAGTGGAAATGACAAGAAGACATATAGGTATGTCCTAGTATGAAAAGCCGATCCTTTGTACCATAATGTGGGCATTATGTGATATACCACACAAAAAGCTTAGATGTAAAAACCTAGCTGTGTCTGTACTAGTTTAAGTGCCATCACAAGTGCATGGGCTTGACTGCTTTTAATAGGTCTGCTTTTAATAGATTCTGGTGATTTTTTAATCTGAAAACTTTATTTTTTAATCTCTGTTTGGCGCACTTGATACTTAATCCTTCAATAAGTATGTGTTAAAGTAACATTAACATGCTGAGTCTTTACAACTCAAAATGGATGTGTTTCAAATTTAGGGATTATGATTTTTACAAATCATAAACTTTAAAAAAGAAATTATGTTTCCTGGAATTTTCCAGGAGCTCATACACTAAGTCAGATTTGTTCACTGTTAGTCTGAGACTAGGTATCTAAAACAAGAATTACCACTTACTATAGTTCAAAATACAATTCAGTAGGCCTCAAAATATGGTCTGGAGATCTCTGGTAGTACCAGAAACCTTTTCAGCAAGCTTGTGGGATCAGTTTTCATAATGGTAGAAAGATGCCACTGTAGAAGTGTAATGTGGAGTTATCTGGCTGTTGGCTGGCTTTGCTAGTTTTCTTTTGCTGCATAATAAGCATATTCCCTTTTGTTAAGGTAAGCTGATTTGCTGCCTTAATTACTTCTACAAAATCCCTTCATAGCAACACCCAGTAGCTGGTTTAGAATGCTGCCTGCACAGGTGTTTTATGTCCCTGAAGATAATTTTTTGGAGTCTTCAGTTATATTCTTAAAGAAATATTAAAATACCCCAGTATAACTTTTTCTTACTAATTCTGCTTATATCATTTTTAACTAATTCTGCCACCATAATATATGGGTTTTTAACCTCTTAATTGTTTTCATCTTTTCTTAACCTTAATGGGATTTTTTAAAGAGAGACAAATGAAAATATCTGTCTAAACATTAGTTACTTCTTTATAAATTACCTTAGTTTTATTAATTTATAATAGCATATAACTTGTGTGAAACTGTTTTACTGTCTTTCTTTTACATTGTTTAAATATGTTGATAAGTATGTATTTAAAAAATCGTTTAAAACCACATTATTTTGAAGTTAGACTTCAGAAAAGCATAGCTATGAAAAAAGTCATTGAAATACTTTATATCATTTTAGAATTCCTCCAAGAAGACTCCAAAGTCACACTGAAATAGTAAGTGTTGTAAAACTAACCCCATATGTATTTTGTTTTAGGAAGAGGAGTGCGCTTATATTACATAGGTGGGGAAGTTTTTGCTGAGTGCCTAAGTGATAGTGCAATCTTTGTGCAGAGCCCCAATTGTAATCAGAGATACGGCTGGCACCCTGCAACAGTGTGTAAAATTCCACCAGGTATGGACTCAACAATGTAAATGTATCACATCAACCTGCTTAGTTTTTCTAGTTGCTAATAATTTTAGGAATAAGGAGATTGTTTGCATGCTCATATTCTGAAGTCTCTAGCCCCTTTAAAATTATTTTTTCTTGTAATACTATTTCACACAATTTCTTTTACTTTTTCTCAATCCTAGGCTGTAACCTGAAGATCTTCAACAACCAGGAATTTGCTGCTCTTCTGGCTCAGTCTGTTAATCAGGGTTTTGAAGCTGTGTATCAGCTAACTAGAATGTGTACCATAAGGATGAGTTTTGTGAAAGGATGGGGAGCAGAGTATCGGTATGAATACAAATTTGATTCTTAAATTTCTACAATGTAGTCATTTTTTATTCCATTTCTTTTGTACCTTCTGAAGTTCATTAATGTCTGATTTCTTTGAAGTTGTGGAGTCAGCAGATCTTTGTGTAAAATAATGAAATAAAGTTGGAGGCCTCTAGATTTAAAACTTGCAAATTATTGTGCTGGAGAAGATAATTAAAACATGTACAGATATGCATTTTAATATAAAGAAGACCGTTAAATATAAGAAAGTGTGTGTTTGGTACCTCAGTTCATGGGAAACTTCTGGTAAGAGATGACACATGATCTAGATCAGTGATGGTGAACCTTTTAGAGCATTCAGTGATAGATAGTGGCTGTGGCACACTGCTATGAGTATACCACCACTGACCTAGGTTCTAAAGCATGGATAGACTTTCAATAGATGGGGATGGGTGACATGGGGGAAATTATGATCTGGACAATAGCATAGCAATTTATAGAGAGTAGGGAAAATGAAACTGCAAGTAAATGATGTAGGGATATTTGAGTGTCTCCATTTGCTTGGGACAGTCCTAGTTTACATTTCTCTCTCCCCTTGGCTTGATTGTTACCAATACCTATATTCTCTCTCAGGGGTGTCCCATTTTAGGTGATAGTAAATAATAACTAGTTGCCAGACTAATTTGAATTTGGAGGGAAAAGAATGTTTCAGAGTATAGTTGAGTATCCAGAATTAATCGTTATTCAAAAGAAATTAGGTTTTTATATATATGTATAGCCTTTCCATTTAAAAAAATCTCAATGTATTTACTTAATTATAGCCATCTTTCCCTTTAATTTCATTATTGTAATTCTTCCCACAGAAGGCAGACAGTAACAAGTACTCCTTGCTGGATTGAACTTCATCTGAATGGACCTCTACAGTGGTTGGACAAAGTATTAACTCAGATGGGATCCCCTTCAGTGCGCTGCTCAAGCATGTCATAAAACTTCAACACCGATCAAATTCCATCAAAAGACTTAACAACTCTTCTGTCATAGTATTTGTGTGTGGTCCCAATGGACTGTTTGCTATCCAAAAATTCCAGAGAGAAAACAGCACTTGAGGTCTCATCAGTTAAAGCACCTTGTGGAATCTGCTTCCTATATTTGAATATTAGATGGGAAAATTATTGTCTAGAAATACCCTCCCATAAAGGAGGAAGAGAAGATTTACAGACTTAATCATGTCTTGTTGGGCATAAGACTGAATGTCCCAAAGGTTTATTAATAACAGTAGTAGTTTTGTGTGTACAGGTAATGTATCATGACCCAGTATCTCAGTATTGTGCTGTTCATACATTTTAGTTTGCATAAATGAAGTGTGTGTGTGTGTGCGCGCGCGTGTGTGTGTGTGTGTGGCTTCTTGATGTAGGCAAGCCTTTATAAAGTTACAGTACCTAATCTGTTATTCTCACTTCTGTTATTTTTGTGTCTTTTTTAATATATAATATATATATCAAGATTTTCAAATTATCATTTAGACGCAGATTTTCCTTGTAGAAAAACTAATTTTTCTGCCTTTTACCAAAAATAAACTCTTGGGGGAAGAAAAGTGGATTCACTTTTGAAATCTCTGACCTTAATGTGTTCATTGGGGCTTAACAGTCATTCTTTTGTGTTTATTTACTACTAAATCTCAGTATAAGAAAATCATATTGAAAACTTTTCCAAACCTCTTTTTTTGATCTCCTTTTGTTCTGATAACTAAATCAGTGTGGTGTGACATTGCTGGTAATGACTGCACTGATACTGCTGGCACCAGTTAATTCTGAGTCAAGTACATGTGGAGTAAATCCCTTGTCTTACAACCGGATTTCAGCTGATACTAATTGATTTTATAGCCTGTCAGTTTATAGATTTAACCTTCCACCTCATAAAGAATGCACAAGTGGCAGTATAATTATTTTCAGGGATGTGCTAGAATTCAGTATATTTATCCTTTTTTAAAGCCAATCTATAAATAATAAGTACCCTTTTTGAAAGGTATTTTAAGATATTACAGCAGCAGACCTGCTCTTTGAGTACCTTCATTTGACTTAGTTACCAGATTGTGTTATGAAATGGACCTTTTGTAAATGTAATTGCTTCTTCAAAATACCTGGAAAAGAGATGCTGAGGTATGATCAGCAGATAAGGGCCATTGTTTTTAAAGTGTGTTGTATTCAACGTATAAATTGAATGCTATTTTACATAGTTACCAATTCAAAATTTTTAAAAATTGGGGGAGAAGCTATTTAGCAGGGTTTTCCCCCCAAGCTTACAAGTAGATATCTGAGCTGCTCTTAGCTAATATGGGGTATGTGGTTGACCATATTTTGTGCTCCCCAGTGAGGGGAGATTCCAGGAGCTCAGTTGGTCATCCACTCTGTAGCAAGTAGTGATTATGTCTAATGTTGACGCATTGCGGTATAAACCTTCTTGTTTGCATCTCAGTAGAAATGGAAAATAATCACTCTTGAATCCCTTTTCGTAAATTTTCATAGTTTTGAAGATAGAAATCTTTGGTACTTGTTCTTTGAAACCATATTCACCTGTATGTACAGGTATCATTTTCGATACTGTCAGCATTGGGTTGTTTTTTATTGAATACTTCCCATTTTCCTATTTGTGTGTATATGTATGTGTTCATGTAAATTTGGTATAGTAATTTTTTATTCATTCAGCAAATATTTATTGTTCACCTGTAATGTGCCAGGAACTTTGTTAAAACCTTTGGGTAAAGGTGAACAAGACAGCTACACCTCCTGCCTCTGCTGAGACAGCAGTTACTCTAACCCATAATCATCTTATGTGTCTGAAGGAGATAAACAGGGTACTGTGCTAGAGAATAACAAGTAGCATGCTTCAGATAGGACATCATCAGGAAGGCCTCTCAGGAAGTGATGCTGGAGCTAACACCTGGACCAGAAGCAGCAAGTCTTACGAAGAACCGAGGGAGAGAAGCACTCCTGGTGAAGAGCACGGCTGCAAAGGCACATCTTAAAGGAAACTCTGTTAGATGGTAATGCTTTCTTTATACAGAAACCTCTCTACAAATCCAAACTTGAAGATCAGAATGGTTCTACAGTTTATAACATGTTGAAGGTGGCCTTATTTTGTGATAGACTGCTTTGTGTCATTCTCACTAATATATCTTCCTCAAATCTTTGCTGTAAAATTGTTTTGCACCAGGTCAGTACCACTTAATAAGATATAACTACCCATGCTTGTACAAATTTTCACCAGTATAATGACCTGCTTGCTTCCAGACATTCTGCTGCCCACTAATCACTATTTCTACTGCCCAATTTGGGATTAGAGTAAATGTCCCCACTGTTATCATGGTGGGGCCTGCTGATGATAATCAGTGGAGCCTCTGCGCCTTAGTGGGAATTTTTATATACTTGAGAACGTGTATACTGCTGCTAGGGAGTAGTCCTGGGGACAGAGAACAACTTTGAAAGCAGTAGAAGGTCCTACCAGTTACATGTTAAATGCAGCAGTGCCAGCAATGGCATTTCAACAGTGGAACATATCTCCACAGTTCAGGTAGGACTTTTCCATACAATATGAAACCAGGACTGAACTCTTTGCAAACACTTGTTGTAATGAGCAGCTGTACCTCTTGAGCAATTTCATCATGGTAACGATTACATTTATGTGAATATGTTTAATGATCATATGTTTTTATGAGATACTGGCTTTTGCATTACATTTTGTCTAGTATGGCCTAATTCCTGTTTACTTTTTTCCATTGAAGGAATGATTTTTATTCCAAACTGTAAAATCTTTGGTGAGTTTCATCTTCATTTAAATTAGCAACATTATTTAGAACTTATCCTGTATGACACTGTTGGTATCTCTCAGTTTAATGCCCTGAAAATGCAATGGCTTTGCTGCCGTCTCAGCTGTTAAATGGTTTTCCCAGTGGCTCCAGTGACACCACAGGGCAGGCTTAGGACGTGGAGGCTATTGGAGTTCCCACTGATCTTGGCCCAACCAGTGGCAAGTTATTTTATGTTATAGTGGAGCTGTGCATGAGATTTCTTTTCAAAGAAGAGTTTCATTGATTGTTTTTAAAATAAGTTCTGAAAAGTCTTTTGGTTAGAAATACAACTGGATATTGTAGGCTAGCCTTGTACAATGCCACTAAATCATGCTTTTTTCCATCCCGTTTCAAGAAGCTTTCCTAAAGGTCTAAACCACACCAATTGTACTGGCTATACATTATACATGCGGTCAGTGAATACTTACTAAAGCCTGTTTACCCAGCCACTGTGATAGATGTTGAGTAATAAAAAGGTGAGTAAGCTTGGTCCTAGCCCTCCAAGCAGGGCTGAGTTCTCTGGGGGTTGCTCTTGCTCTCAGGATGTGTCACTTTGCCAGAAAGAAATCTGCCTAATTTTTCTTGAAGGCTAAAGATTCTAATCTGTACTCTTACTATGTGTTCTAAGTATATTTTTGTAGGTTATTTAATATCTAGTTATATTTTTTAATCTTAAGCCACATGCAGTTTTGTTTGAATCATCTGTCTTAAAAGTGTCCAATTGTCAGATTTTCCCTTGTTAAAATTACTTTGATTTCACTTTATTTGTGCCTTTGTTGTCAGTTGCATCAAGACTAAGACTTTGAACATGAAAAGTAGTCTATCTCTTGCTAGTTGAAATTTTAAAAAAAGCATATACCCAGTTGGTTTCTCTACCTCTTCTAAAAATTGCCCATATATACCTTCAGTGTCTGTCTTTAAATTACTAAACACTTCGTTTATTATATATTAGAACCCTCTTGGTCTGAAGGTGGGAATGATTTATTTATGGTGGGATGTAAAATAACAAAAGACAATCTTTTCTGTACTTAAAATCTTTTTATGTGCAGTCTTTGGTTCAAAAACTGAACATTCCATTTGCCCCCCTTTGTGCCATCTCCCCAACTTTTTTGGATAACTCAGTCTTTGGACATGAGCAACCAGATTCTTTCCTCTTTTTAACTGAAGTATTCATATTTAAACAAATCAAATTATACTTTTTTCCTTTTATGTGCTTTATTTATTAAATCCTTTGTATTCCTCAACTGAATTTTGTTCTTCCTCTCTCACTGATACATATCTGTGTTCTTACTGATTTCCTTCTCTATCATTCATACTTTATCTGCATACATCAGAATATGTCTCTCCCTAGAACTTTATTTTTACTCATTAAGGAAGGTGCTTTTTATATCCGAAGTCCTCATTTCTTTATCAGGGAGGTTGATACTGTTCAAATTGGCTTATTACTCTAAGCTTACAAGTGTCTGAAATTCTCTGCAGTTCATTGTCTTTGTGACTGGCAAGTAGCAAATTATCAGATCTATTTAAGTTATATTTAAGATTATGAGCTTTGTGGCCGTTGGAGGCAGTGTTTTTGATATAATATTAGCCCTGTTATCGAGGGGCATATTTGAGTTTTGTGTTAGTACAATCAGGATGAAAATGGTGTGTGGTCTCCAGAGAGTCAGAATCCTGCTATTGAGTTCCATTTCTATTTTCCTTTTTAGATTTTCATGATTATGTTTGTTCAAACTACCTTTTATATGTGGTGATTGAGAGAGAAATTATCTTTTAGAGTAGAATTCCTGAGTTTTGAGCCTCACAACCAGGAAATGTGAGCTATAATGGGCTCATGATAGCCTTTATGATAAGAACTTGTCTCATGTGTTCATGCAGTTTCTTGAATTAGGAACTGTTTTATCTTTGATACTGTAGTTAACTTTATATATAGCAGAACTGCCTCAACCTTTTTAGCAGGAAAAAATGTATGTGTATAAGTTTAGATACACACACATATATATACTCACAGAAAACTAACCATGTCATTTTAACAATGGTGAGTCTACTGTTTAAATCTCAGATCTGAATAAAAGGTTTTTAATTCACTTGCAGACATTTTCTTTTCATAGACCATCAGTGTAATTTTTAAAAAAATTTTCCCAGAGGCCTAATTTGGCACCAGTTAATATGCTATTTTTAGGCAGCTTGACAAGAATCACAAGTGGAATTCATTAAAATCAGATGAAGCTCTCCTATAATACCCCTTCATTAAATTATTATACCTCCAGTCCAGTAGCCTCTGGAATGTACCAACTTAGGGTGAACTCTTAAAAAATACTGGGTTGTGCTTCATATACATCCCCTCACCCACCAGTAAGATTGCTGTATCAGATACCTGAAAGATCGAATTCTCCTGTATCTGGCAATAGCCTGAAGGTGAAGATTCTCAGCTGGGCTCAGCAGAAATAGATTTTCCAAGGTTTCTCAGGCCATCCCTAACCCACAGGGACTTGGCCAGAGTACTTTAATTTAGTGCTAGTTGGCTTGCTGCCATAAGGATTATAGTGGATCCAAAATTTCACTATAATGCTTGAGATAAAAGGATCCTGTAGAATAATAATGCTACTGGTATTTTAGGTGAGAAGGATTAGCTTCACATAGGGAACTCTCAAATTTGTCTTTTTAAGTTTCTTTTAAAAATGTTACTTTTCTACCTTGCAACAAAATGAAGACTCCCATCCACAATTTCCAGTTTAATTTTTGGGATGGGAATTAAGGATTTACTTCCTATTTCTGATTACAGATGATAATTTATTGAACAATGAAATCCATAATATATTGATTTAAGGACAAAAGTAAAGTTTTAGAAATACTAAAAAACTTAAATATCCTATATTTCCCATTTTGTATTGACTGTTTTTCCCTGTGGCTTCAAGTTCTTGGCTATTTTACAGTGTTAGTCACTAAATAACTTGCGACATTTCTAGTTCTATATTAAGTTCTGCCCTTTACAATGATGTAGCATAAAGTTTGTTAGCTTTTTTCTATAGGAAGTCTAGCTAAAGTCTCTGTTCTTGAGTGAAATTTTCCTTTTTTCATTAAGTCCCTAAGAAACTATGTTTGCCATTTGCAGTATTTGCATTTATGGACTGTTGAAACTCTAAAGAAATGTGAGAAAGGATAGGGTCCTTTGCTGGCGAATATGTAACCTTGCCTTAAGAATGTAGTCACTTGTTGGTTTATATAACTAATATACACAGATTAATTTAAATCAGGAGAAATAATTATATATGTAGCAATTAGGTGACATGCATGAATTTTTAATTAAGAATACTATTTTTTTGGCAAAATACAGAACCCAAGTTGGGCATTTTTTTAGAACTCTTTTACCTCAGGCTTCATTTTTGCTTTTTTGACCCTGGCTTTTAAGGCATACATATTTGTACCTTTTTATTAATGATGATGCTATGGTACCGAGTATTTATGTAAGAGGGTAAAACAAATCTGTAGAGGTTCAAACAAAAGCAGTTCTGCAGTCATTGAATTAGATTACATCATTCTAGGCAGAATAAAAGTGTTCGTATCTGAGAATATTTTTGCCATTCTTTTCCCAAGGCCAAACCTTCTGCTGGAGCACAGTTAAAAGTAATGTAATTCTGGGCCTTTGTAAATATCTCCAGTTGGCAGTCATCCTTTCAATATATGAAGCAAGAATGTGGGCAATAGCTGGCATTCAATATTTCCACCTAAAAAAAGAATATGAAGAGACATACAAAAACTGGTTTATTCATTTAGCCCTGAAAATCTCAAGACTATATAGTAAAATACTATATAACTGAATAAAGCCAGAAGAACCTTTGGAAGTTTTTTCTGAAAACATCTCAAGAGTGAACTTTGATATATTGCTTACTAAATTTGCATGGCTGCTTACCAGTATTCTTAAGCTTTTAAATATGCTATGTTGGGATCTATCCTTTTAGCAGATTTGGAGGAACTGGCCATTACGTGAGCTTAAAAAGCACTTTAGGGGCTAATGTCCTTAAAAGTAATCTTATACTCTTGAAAAGTGTTAACTTTCATCATACTTGGAGGAGTGAGTGGTGTTCTTAGGAAGACCTGAGAATCTGGGACTGGGGTTTCTCAAATGCAAGACTCAGTGCTCGATGCAGGTGAGTCTGAGGCACCCAGAGGAAATTGGCCACTGTAGGTGTTCCTGTGATTCACTTGTGCCTCAAAGCTGTCAGCTTTTCCAGTACTGGGACATGTTTCCTCCAATCACCTATTACTATGAATGGAACATGAGGCTTATAACAAATGTGAGCTAAAAACACCAACTTGGTGGTGAGACTAATGTTTAGTGACCTGGGAAAGGTAACTGGTTAATGGAAGAGAGAAGAGGCAACTCTATAGATAAGTTCTTAGGATCTGTGCATATGTAAGTACAAATCATGTGTCCTTAAATATGGTTACATTTAACATGAAATGTAAATTTTTAACACTAAACAAAAATTGTGGTTGTGGATTTTTTTCTCTCAAAAAATACGGCCTTTGATGCTCTGGTCTTTATTACATTTCTCTGTCCTGCAAAGAAGCCAGAATATGTGTTGTTTTTTTTTTTTCCTGGTGAATGGTATATTAAAATTGTTAAATGCACCAGCCAATAACAGGGGAAGGAGTTGGGTATCCTGAAACAGTTTGAACTACTGTATTTGCTCTCAAGTCTTACGTCCTCCTGCTCTTCAGCTAGGACAACAAGCCCGTGAGCCGAGGCTTTGCTGAGGCAGCATCAACTTTTGTAGTGCAGTGTGATGGATGTGCACTCTGTTCTGGTTCCCTCTGGTAATCCTCAGTGGCTGCATCCTTTGCGCACTGTGATGGAGATGTTAAATG